GACATTTCCCACCCCAATACCTTACCCCCAATTCCCAAACACACACACACACGATACACATTTCACACCAAAATCTAGTCCAATAAAAATTAAATTTAATTCAATTTTACCCACTCCAACGCATAAAAATTAACCCAAACCCATAAAGGTTAACCCAAGCCATTATCAATCAACCCGAGCCTCACTCATCTCATCACTCTAACCTTCCTCTCTCCTTGCTGCCGTCGGCACTCAAGAATCTCAGACTCAGCTCAGCTGCTCAACACCCATTCTTTCAATCTTTTTCACTTCTAGTTTCTCAAAATCTCACTTTCAGAATTCAGACTCTGTCACCTTTCACCTTTGCCTTTCTCCCAACCCACTAACCCTAAATCCCTCCATTGCCGCCTACTGATCTGCTGGAGCTGCTGCCGGAGGCGGACTACATACTGCTGCTGGAGTGGATTGTTACCAGGCTACACTGCTGCTGGCGAATCCATCTGGACTGCTGCTATCGAACTCGAAGCCATCTGCCTATCCGATCTGTCGGAGTTGTTGCCGAACTGGACTGCTGAACTCTGTCTCTGTGCTGCCGGACTACTTCACCTGCAGATCCAAACGGTTAGAAGTTTAAATAATTTGTTTATGGTTGAATTAACATAGAGAAAGTCTGAATTTTCTAGAGTTTACTTGATTCTCTGATTGCTCATAGCCATTTCTATTAGTGAATGTTTACAAGATTAAATGATTGAAACGCACAATAAAAATTTAATCTTTTTCTCTTCCAGGTAATTTAATCTGTTCACGATTCTACAGATGAGTTTGTTGTATTTTTGGAGTTTTTGTTAAATGAATTTTTAAGGCAAATTTTGGGTTAGATTTATATCTGAAAAAACATTAGGTGTGGGCTCTGGTTTCGTTGCTGTGAAGCTTTCATCACTGGCTACCTTTTGTGTTTTTGAAGGCTTCATTTAATTGCTCTCAGTTTGGTACTGTTTGGTTGTTTTTGGTTTTGTTAGATCACAATTCAATTCTATATATTAAGCTGCAATCTTTTGGTTTGATATATTGGGTATCAAAAATTGGGAATTTTGAGTTGGGTTTCTAATGTTTATGTAAAGATGGTGAATTTCTTGATTATATGGGTGTTTTGCTTAAAAAAATGAGTGGGTTTGTGGTTTTTATTTGCATACACATGTAACATAGAAAAGTGTAGTAGCTTCTTAGTAAAATCAAGAAATTGAGAAAAGGAAATTCTTTCGTTCCTTCACATTGATTTTTGATTTCCTTAGTAGAAGATAGTGAATGCCCGCCTGCTGCCTGTCCAGGAGAAAACAGAAAAGTGAAACTTTGAAAGGGAAGAATTCCCATTAAGCAGAGAAAAGTTCAAAGTGTATTTTTTAATGACTAATTTGTTATGATAATCTATTTTATATTTCAATGTAAAGGCATAACTGTTTTTTTTTAAAAAAAATTATTTTTAGGTTATAAATGTCTAATACACAAGAGCAGAGTGTTGATCGATCATTTATATTTGGACAATTTATGTCTGATTTTATATATAAAGAATTTTAGTTAATTGTACTTGAATTTTTAGAATTTTATTCATTGCAATTGAATATTAATTAATTATACGTAAAAAATTTATATTTTGATATTAATTGGTGGGGAATGGGGATCCCCGTTCCCTGTCCCCGCCATTTGTGGGGATAGGGATGGGGAGGGATCCCCAGCCCCGTGGGGCCCTGTTGCCACCCCTAAAGGTAGTTAGTTCTATCTCTATCATATGGAATTCTGATTGTAATTTAATTTTTGTCTGCATGTCTGGTGCTATGATATGTACCTTGTATTTGACATCTTTGCTTTCATCTTTCAGCTAGACAAATTGCAAATGAAAACCAACATGGAATTACTTTATGAGGAGAATGAGAATTTGAAGAAAGAGAATGAAAGGTTGAAGCGTGTGCATGATTCGATGAATGGAACTTTGCAAGCGCAAGCAAAATTGATAGATCAGTTGAAGAGTGATCTTGACAAATTGAATGACGAGTATAAGAAGCAAAATGTCCTTGTGCAAAGACTCTCAGAACTATTAGTAAGCGCCTTGAAAGTACCTTATTTCTTGATTTCTGTGATACTTATGTATATTCAGTCTCATTTAAAGTATAGGTAATGCAAATTGGGCATTTGAGTTTCAACACAAGGCTTGCATTTAAGTTAAAACCAATTAGATATATCATGTGAAAATTGTGTGCTTGTGGGCTTAAATGCAAGGTTTGCATCTAATTTAAAACTAATTGACAATACGTGAAGTAGCCCTCTTTGTATTTAAGTCACACATGTTTATTATTGTACTTGGATGTGAGATTTTACCACTTAACACGCAAGCTCGGTATGAACTTCAAGTCCTATCATGCAACTTAATAAGTCATGTGTATCTTAATTCAAATTGGTTTAAATATCTAGTTTTCAAATCAGGAGTATTCTTCTGAAGTTAGAAACTCATTTCAGCTATTGTAGACACTGTTCACCTAACCTGGAAATCTAGATCAGGTTGGTAATTGATTTGAGGTTGGATATAATGCTCAAATGGTGCTTGAGTCCACTTGCTTTTTCTAATATGGCATCAGAGTTCTTATTTACTGTTAAAGCCTCTTTATTAGCCCACATGCACGATCGAATAGGAAAGCGTGCTAAAGTCTAATTGGTTTTAGGTGTGATCTCATATGCTGTTTGAGTCCACTTGCTTTCTAAACATTGGCATGGTGCATAAATCTTAAGTATATATGAGGGACTTGAAGAGTGAACCTGATGCATAATTTTCAAGTATGATTCAAACTTTTAGACTGATGATTCACTACTGTTTTTATTTAATATTTATACATATTCATTTTTTCTTTATAGGCATGCCCTGACCTCCAGCTGGAAAATGAAAGGCTTAAATTAGAAAATAGTCAATTGAGACGTCATGCAAATCTAGATTATAACATGGTGCTTGCAGAGGAGAATGTAAAATTAAAACTTGAAAATAAGGTACTCAGAGTGCAGAATGATGCTTTGGTTGGGAAATTAATTAGTGACAGTGACAAGAAGCATTCATGAGGATTGCCAGGATGAGCTACCATTAGTATAAGTGTGTCATGTTAATTTTATTTCTTACTTTTTCTTTTTGTACATCGGATGATGGGCTATATGATAGGATATAGCCTCCCCACCTGTCCTAGGATTTGAACTTAAGATCTCCAACATGGAGATTTGAGATTTTAACCACTGGGACATTCCCTAGGAGACTTTATTTCCTACTTGTATGCTCATTTGCTATGGGCTTTGTAGCACCACTGAATGTTATATGATTTTTTCTTTGATTACTCATCTGTTAATCTCAGTCTCTTGTCAAAGCTCCTTGTCAAGTAAAGTATTATACATGTTTTTCTCCAAGCATCAAAGTCATAGACATTAGATCAGAGTAGGGTGGAAAGCAATACTTCTGATGTAATGCATGTTTGCTCTTTGGATTATAGTTACTGTCTGTCTGGCTATAATTTTGTCATACACAAGTAGAGTTGGTGTATGTATGGTACTGTGATTTGCAGTTATTGCAAACATAAGTAATCTAGATACTGAGCTAATGGTTATGGATGAGATTGAGAAATTGCAATGCAAAAAGAAAATAGTTGAAGTGAAGACAGAAGCTTTATGTTTTAAAATGAGTGACAATTGCCATGAACAAGGACTTCATCCCCATCATTAATTGCCTACACTGGTATGTTCCTTGTTCACTTTATCCTCAACCAGACAAAAATAGGGTATGCTCAGAGTGCATGAAGATGTTTTGTTTGGGAAAATAATCAATGACAATGACGAGGTATGATGTAATTCTAGCATGATACGTGTCCATTACTCAAGTTGATGTCTCATGTGATGTATTTCTCTTTTCCTTTTTCTGGTTTGTACACTCAAATCAATTCCTTGCAACACGCTTTGTATATCCACAAGAATTTATGCAATTTCTTGCCTAGCTTGTTCATTGTCTCATCCCAGTCTTCAAGTTCCTCAAACATGTTTTTGCAGAAAGCTGAAGTCATGGAGATTAAGAAACAGAAAAAGGTAGTAATTTTTCAATGTGAAATTGAAGCAATAGCTCTGATGCAGTATTAGATTATAATTATAGTCTGTATAGCCTTAATTTCAGTGGTATGTAGCTCTCTTCTAGCAATTTTTGCATTATTATTATGTATATGTAGGTAACGTGATTTGGAACTAATGTGAACATAATCTATTAGAGTTGAGATTAGGATGAGAAAGTATAGTGGGAAAAGAATATAAGTCAAAGGAAATGCAAATGTTCTTTGAGTCATGACATGGCAGACAACTACAAACAAGTAGGGACACATCCCCATTATTAACTGCCTATACATTGTTATGTTCCTCATTAATTTTATGCTTAACGAACAGAAACTGAGAACAGAGCGGGCAGTTGTTAATCCAGAAACTAGCTACATTAAATTGTTGATGCCGTGTTTGAAAGACGGGATGACAACTTCTATAATGTAGCCAACATTTCGTCTGTAAAAGGACAAAACACTTTTTCAGAGAATCAATTTAATTTGTAGTGCTAACTGAGATGTCTGAAATCATGATGTAATGCAGTTCCATCTCCTGTTCATATGTTTTTTTCTACTTCTGGGTTTGTCTCTTCATATTAAGAAAGCGACATTCTTCCTCGGTAACTATAACCATTATCTCTCCAACTACCATGAGATACTCCCATATCTTTGTGTGTGTCTTATTTGTTGTGGTCTATGTGGAAATGTCTAATCCCATTTACTTGGACTTTATAGGAGTTAGCGCGGTTTTTGGGGTCCATCGGGGGTCGGTTTCGATGCGCGGTTTTTAGTATCCCTGCGCGTGCGCGGGTGACACTCTCAAAATCACGCGGTGGCGGCTTTCATCCTCCAAGCTTCACCCCCACCCCCACAACCATAAATTAGAACTACGGCGTCCTTTGCACTAGGCATAGCTCGACTCGACTTTTCTCTTTGTTGGATTAGGTGCGAGATTCTTCTCCTCCTTTCTTTTCAGTGTCATATAGCTGTTTTACATTCTTGAATTGGTTTTTATGTTCTGCTCCTATCTCTTTAATATTGGTTCATGCTCATGGATGAGATACCCTGTTTTGCCTTCTACTGTTCGTTTACTGATTCTCCTTTACCCAATAAAATGATGTAAATGGGAAATTCTGGTTTGATATGTCAGGAATTTTCTGAATTTGTTTCAATTCTTTTGTATTCAAAGGGTAATCTCTGTAGGTAGAGTAATCTTGTGGTTTGTGGGTTTGAGTAGAGTACTTTTTCCACGCAATTTAAGATCCAATGCTACTTGATTGCAGCAAATTGATTTCTTTCCACTGCTGTTTTCATTGAAGAGCTGAAATCATGGTGGTGGGAACAGGGAGTAAGGCGTTTCTGGTAGTTTCATTTCTTCCCCTATCATGGCTTGAATCCTGTTTTTCATGCAAACAACACATTTCCTGTTTCTCATGGTCATGTTTGGTTGAGCAAGATTCAAGCTACACCTTTTTTTTCAATAGCCTTTCTTTTTTTTTTACTAAGATTTTCACTCAACTATTTTTTATTTGTGTGCCTAACCAATTTGAACAATTTAGAAACTGAAAAAAAGGGTGAATCTGAAAGGGCCAAGATTGGTTGCCAGGCTAAGAGCAGAACTGAATCGTGCAAGAGAGCGTCTGGAGAAACAGAAAGCAAAGGCGAGACGGAAAGAAATAAAATGTTCTAAAAGGAGAAAGAGGAATGAATTCTTCTGGAAGGAAGATGCATGCATCCGACATGGTATTGATCTTACCCTTGGTATCCTAGATGCAGAAGATGAGGGTGACTTTGTCAGAGCTGATCATCTTAGGCAGTCTAGGAGGTTGGGTTCATTAAAACAAATTCAAGTTCTTATATTTATGCGTTTCATATATTAAATTTCCTTTTTGGATCGGCAAGTGAGACATAACTTTCTCTTTTTCTTTTGCTAGTGAGTTGGTGGCCAAGCACATGGAAGAAACACAAGATTTCTTGAATGGTGCACTTAACTGAAACTTGGACCAAACAGTCAGCCCTGCATATGTTGTTTCCCTACCAAGTTTGTGTGTTATGTAATGTAATGGCTATGTTTGACTTCTATGTTCTAATCTCTGTTTCAAGTCAGTTTATGTGGATCATTGTTGTCTATGTTGGCTACTTGCTTTGCAAATAAAGATGGCTGTTTGCTATATGGTTATCTGTGCCTCGTACTGTTATTGCCAAACAAGTAACTGACTTACTTAGAATATTTTCTCCCTTGATAAGGTGAAGCTAGATTGATTCCAAGATGGATGCTGAAAGCATAATTGCTCTATTATTTCTTAAACCATTTACTGCAAAGTATTGAATTCACTTCTCTTAATTTCTCGGATATATGATTAAGTCAACATTTACAAGGTTGGATTGGGCAAATGATGTCCTCTAGGTGTTCTGAAATGAATTCAGTTATCTACTGATGCTGTACCTGAGGTCAACATATAATGTGGTCCTTTTCTTCTTATTACAATGAATACCAAATACCATCCTACCTTGTTGCCAGTAACATGTCTCTTTTTTACTCCCTTGAAGAACTACTCAATTCACTTGTGTAGTTCTTCCAATGATGTATTGTTATTCTTACATCCCCCAAAAGTGTATGCTATTGCTATACAGGGTTTACATACCATACATAGGATTCATTCTCTGTTCTGATTGCTTGCCATTGAATATTGGCGTTGGCTCCAGTGAATTCATTATCATCGACATAATTTTTTTGGTGGAAGGGGGTGAAAAACTTTGAGATTGTGATGCATACTGTCTAATGAGGAAGGTTAACTCAGGCATTCAGAAATGCAAACTTCATGGAGTAGCTATAGACACTAATTTTTTTATTAACGATGATAATACTTTATTTAAGATGGTACAACTGTAACATGCATTGCAAATACAAAGATCATCAATCTGAAAATATATATGGGATCAGTCCTACTTTGTACAACCTCTGCATGTATTGCAGAACCCACATCCCCACACAAGCATTGGATCAAACAGCTGGTGTGCGTGGCCAAAATAAGCTCCAGTCTTCCATTCTTCATTGCCACCAATCCCCAATATCAAAGAAACATGGCCAGCACTCACATGAATAAAGACAATTGGGACACACAACAGATTATTCACTGCACAAAGCCAGTTGACGCAACTCAACAATGGTAATTTCATTATAGCAATACAATATTAAGTTATCTGCATCCAGATCCTCATAGCATAAACTCCTCCCTTCAGTTGGTTAAGCACTGATTCCATCTCTTCCAGCATGGCTTTCGTCTCTGCCAGATTGTTCTTCATGAGACTTGTCTCTTCTTTTTCTTCCTTGACCTTGGCTTCCATCTTCTTGAGAGCGGTATTTGCTATCTACTCCAATTCAATAAAAGCAAGGGAACAATCAATGACAGAAACTGCAGATAATATAAAGACAGCAGGCCATCAAAACGCAGCTAACTACCTGAATCTCAAGCACTGAAATGGGACGCTTTCGCTTGGCAACTTTCCGATACCTCTTCTTTGCTGCTCCCTGGATATCTTCTTCCCCACCTAAGAAAATAGAAGAGACTTCTTAATGAAACTAAAATTTCAGGATGAAAATTAACCATCTTTTTTTTTATTTGGTAGGAAAAATTAACAATCCCTTTGATGCCAGTAAGTTTTTAAAGTTTAGAAATAAAATTTTTAATAAAAAAAATTAAAAAATATTATACTGATCAAATTGCACAACTCAGATGAAGTGACTGCGAATTGTCTCGATCCAGTAGTCCTGTTTCACAATCTAATATTAGTAGTCCTGTTTTGCAGTCTAATATTAGGGGTTATGCTTCACCCAACAGTT